TTTTCTCTCTTGAGGCCGGCGGTTCCGAGCGCTGCCGGCCTGCTCTGGCTCTTCGGGCGGGAGATGCTTTCGCAGCCACTTCTGGGGCGCAGCCGGAGGGACGGGGCGCCGGATGGGGGGGCTCTGAGATACTACGGAGAATTCTTTCCCAGCTGCCTGGCTCCGGGATCTTGCCCACGTGCTCAGGGTCTCTGATCGCCATAGGGTCAGATTGGTAGAGACCCTCGGGGGGGGGGGAGGGTTCCGCCTTCCTCTGCAGCATGGGGCACGGGGTCATTTGCAGGTTTAAACCAGCGTCAATGAAGGATTCTCTGTAACTTGAAGTCTTTCAATCAAGATTTGAGGAGTCAGTAACTGGGCGGGAGGCTGGGATCTGTTGTAGGAGTGGGTGGGTGAGGGTCTGTGGCCTGCAACGGGTGGTATCCCACAGCCCACCGCCCAGAGGGCTGGGCGCAGGGCGAGGAAGCCTGGGGCTGCCACGTGGCTTCGACCGCGGCACGCAGTGGGGCGCCGTGGGCACGGCTGAATGCACAGGCCTTGCAGAACGCAGCTCCCCGGCGGCTCCGCGGAGAGCCAGTGTTCACCGCCCAGGAGCGGGCGGGGAGGCCGTGGCAGGTGCCGGCGCGAGTCCCAAGGTGACACGCTCCATTTGCGAGGTGGGCTGGGAGCATGGCCCGTAGGGAGCCGCTGATGGCAGGGAACAGGCGAGTAAACACATTAGTTAAATGACTCCGAGCGAGCGGGGGGCGTTTAAAGAAAATGACAAAATTGGCGCCGTTCTCGGTTCTATTCCGGGCTCTGGGAGGGGAACTGTCATTACGAAGATGCTTCCAAAACTCGGAGCCGGGGATGGGGGGCTCCCGCTCCCTCTGAGCCCCCCACCCGAACTCCTGGGGTTCACGGCGCCGGAAGGCAGCTGGACCCAGCCGGTGGGCGGCTGCTAAGCTCCACATCGGGCCCTGGCGTCACACACAGTCCCGGGCATAGACGGCTGGTGGCTCCCCATACTTCTTTCCCTGGGCAGAGGCGGATTAGGGGTTTGTTGTGGGGCCCTGGGCCAGAGCAAGTGGGGGCCCCTCCCCACCCCTTCAGCCTGCAATCCCCTCCTCCCCCGCTCCTGCTGGGGAGCGGAGTCAGGGCGGGGGGGCTTCCCCCAGTCCCCAGCAGGTGGACCTGGCGGAGTGGGGAACGGGGGAGCCTATTTTTCCAGGGCCCCCCAAATGGCTGGGGCCCCTGGGCATGGGCCCTGTTGGCCCAGTAGCTAATCCGCCACTGTCCCTGGGCCTCCCCTCTCCTGCATGTTAGGCTGCTTTCCCAGGGAGCCGGGCGGGGAGCGGCAGGGAACCGCTTCTGCCTGAGAGAGCCTGGCTGGGAGGCCGCGGCGGCTGGTTCCCTGCCCCGGGCTCGGCTGCCTGCTGGGGACAGGGGCCGAGGGAGCTGGATCCCCCCTTTCTCCCCCGGCGCGCTTGGCCCCTGTCCCTGGCAGCCGAGCTCACATTACACACAGCCCGGCTTTGCAAAGCGGCCACCGATTTGGGGGTGTCGCAGCAGCCGGGGAGCCCCAGGATCTCTCCAGTGCAGGCTCCAGTGTCAGCCTTTTGGGCACATTTTCATGGGCAGGGGGGAGTGGTTGTTCTGGGAGGGGCGTGGAGGCTCCCAGGCTCCAAGTCCTGCTAAACGCCCAGGGTTGTTATTAGCAGGAGCTTGCAAAGCTCTGTCAGCGTCACTGCCGCCGACCCTGGGCTCGGCAGCCCTGCTGTCCGTGCCCCCCTCTCCCCCACACGCTGTCCCCCCCTAGCTCGGTGCCCAAGAGCTGCCTGTGGCCTCGGGAGAATCGCTGGCTCGTGCCGGGGTCTCCCCGCGCTCATGGAGCCGAATGCCGCACGGGGCCCGTGGGAGCGGGGGTAGCTCTGGGGGCCGCCTGCTGTGGACACACATCCCTCGGCCACTCAAACGCCCGGGGGCAGCAGGGACTGGAGCCAGCTGCCTGCCCCTCCAAAACGCTGGGTGACCGTGTGGGGTTCGAGGGGCTGTCACCCCCCTGCCTTGCACCCCTGCCTGCCTTCAACGCTCTGCGGCTCTGCCCCCCAGCAGCCAGGCTCCCACTGCTGGCTCCCACCGCCCCGTTGCTGTTTGCAGAGTGACCCCAATGTCCCCCCCCATCCCGAGTCCCCCCCAGAGCAGCTTCCAGCCATGCCCAGCCCTCGCCCGGACGCTACCCGCAGTGACTATGGTCACTGCACCTTTCAAGGGACACAAACAGCAGCTTGTCAGCTCGGCCGGCGTTAGCCAAGGCTTCGGTCAATCAAAGCGCGGGGCTGGGGTAGCTAACAGTGTCAGAGAGAGGTTTGCCGGGAGTTCGGGTCTCGGGGATCAGGCTAGAAAGGGTGACAAACAAACCCAAGGAAACATCCACTGCCGAGACTAAAAAACGTCACAAGTTACAGCCTTCGCCGTCTCCGCGCCAGGCAGAGACTTCAGCCCCCCGAGTGAGGGACCCACCTTTCTCAGCCAGGCCCTCTCAGAGCTCCAGAGAGGCCCTGGGCCACGTCCAGCTTTGGAGGCCCCGACCCGTAATACAAATAAAAAATGACGACACACGAAAACAAAAGAAGGCACCGAAAAAAAGAGGGAGACGTCATTTGAATTTTTTTTTTATTTACCCAATGCTTTTCTAGCCTTTTTCTCTGCAGATGCACTAATTAATATTTATGAACATTTTTAACTCTTTAATATGACAAAAGCTAGATCAATGAACAGAAAAGTTATGGCTTTTACCAAATCGCATCTCTTATTTGCTTAAATGTGCAGCTCTAAGCTCGCCCCGGATGAGCTGTTTCCTTTCGGCCTGCGGGCATCCGTGCAACGTGTGGCTTTATTGTGAGCCCTGGTGGCTTTGAACCGGCGACTCGATTTTAAATAAAGGCCTCGGTTCTCTCACGCGCTGCGGTCCCCGCAGGTCTCCAGGGAACAGAACGGCGACCGCACCAAAGGGCCAAAAGTAACTCATTGAATTTGGTTACTGGTGGTGTTACCCGCATTTCAAATGCAAATTGAGGATAGGTACATTAAAGGTTACAGGAAGCCCAGGGCTGGGCTGGAGCCCGCCAGGGTGCTGTTGGTTGGGAATGAGGGGCACAGACAGAGCTGTGGGGGTGGAGCTCAGGGCTGGGCTAGCAGGGGGCTGCAGGTCAGGAGTGAGGGGCATCGGCAGAGTGTGTGTGTGGGGGGGGGGGGCCCAGGGCTGGACTAGCAGGGGAAGCATATAAAGCAATATAGGGAGGATGCTAGGGGATTTTAGCACCTCTCGCTGTCTGTCCTCCTCCCCCGTCTGCCTTCTGCTCCCTTTGGCCTTTCACTCCCCCGACAGGAGGCCAAGCTGGGCCCAGGCTCTCCCCACTTCCCTTCTCCCCCTGCCCTCTCCCCTTGCCCTTGGCGCTGTGCTCCGGGCCTGGTGGGTGCGTCTCAGGTCACGCGACTGCAGGGAGCTCTGCCCTGGGCACCCCCAGCCCTGGGAGAACTGGCTGTCGCCTGAGGGAGCTGCCAGGGGTGCTGAGGCCGGGGGCAGGTGGGGAGGGCCAGCATATGATCCTGTTTGGGTGTGGTGCCGGAGAGCTCGTTTTGAGGCAGGCAAGTGACACCTGGTGGGCAGACGGGGTCATGGTGCAGCTGCCAGTATTGCCATGTGGCTGGACCTCAGGGGAATTGTGGGAGCTTGGCTGTAAATTCCCACAATTCCCTTTGCTCCATCCCATAAACTTCTCCTTTCCCCTCATCTGTAAAGATCCCACAGTCCCTTAGCGTGGAGGCCGGACAGATCAGCCAGGGCCCCTGAGCCATGTAGAGTTGCAGGATTTCAGCGATTCCCCCAGCGGGCGGTGTGACGTTATTAATATCACCTATGTCCGTATAGATCATTGGTGCAACCACGGTTATATATTTGCAGCAAATATTGTACAAAGGTTGTCGTGTGGGGTGTCTATGGAAAGGTTATGATTGACTGGTTATGATTATGCTGTCTGTATGGGTGTATCGTTTTTATAGTTGAAGTTATGAATACTGGCTATGTACTTCTATCTCAATGTGTTTTGATTCTCAAGTAGTAAAGCATTGGGTCAGCTTCTCCAGAAAGGAATTTGGGCACTTAATTTGCAATCAAGAAACACTTAACGGACGATGAACCTTGGGAGACTCCAATCCACATAAGAAGTCTTCCTGGGAACGTTCAAGATAGCATGTGAGCAATGGGTGTCGCCTGTAACGAACTGAGTCATGCATGGACATGTGACTTGCCCATGTGACTCCAAACTCCATTTTGTTGTAATTTTCCACCGTAAGAACAAGAGGGGTCCTTACACCTGGAAGAGACTATAAAAGGCTGATGCCTTATCTCCATCTGGTCTTCAATCCTGCTTCTTACCTCTGGAGGGACTTTGCTACTAACTGAAGCTCTGAACAAAGGACTGAATGACCCACCCAAGCTGTGGATGTTCCAGAGACTTGATTTGAACCTGCAGTTTATTCCATCACTGCTACAAGCCTGAACCAAGAACTTTGCCATTACTGTATGTAATTGATTCAATTTAACCAGTTCTAGCTCTCCTCTAGATCTTTTTCCTTTTATGAATAAACCTTTAGATTTTAGATTCTAAAGGATTGGCAACAGCGTGATTTGTGGGTAAGATCTGACTGGTATATTGACCTGGGTCGGGGCTTGGTCCTTTGGAATCAGCAGAACCTTTTTTCTTTTACTGGGGTATTGGTTTTCATAACCATTCGTCCGCATAACGAGTGGCACTGGTGGTGATACTGGGAAACTGGAGTGTCTAAGGGAATTGCTTGTGTGACTTGTGGTTACCCAGTGGGGTGAGACCGAAGTCTTCTCTGTTTGGCTGGTTTAGTGCCGTGGTGGGCAGAGGACCCCCAGCCTTGGGCTGGGACTGCCCTGCTCTAAGCAATTGGGACTCTCAGAAGTGTCCCACCAAAGCCAGCATCGTTACAGGCAGCCACGCCGTGGTGACAACGAGAAAACGAAGGGGGCGCAGGCGGCCAATGAAAACCTCCAGCTGCTGCCGGCATTCGCTGGCCAGCTGCACGCGCCGGAGCAGCCATTCGTGGCCCACACGCCGAGCACCGATGGGTGGGATCGCTCCAGGCTGCCGATCGGGGACGGGCGCAGCAGCTGTGGAGCGTTGGCCCCATGCCCCTGGCTCCCTGCACCGAGGTGGCCCCAGCCCGCCAGCACAGCCCCCAGCCAGCCTGCCAGTGCAACTCCCAGCCAGCCCGCCAGCCCAGCCCCCAGCCAGCCCGCCAGCCCACCAGCGCAGATCCCAGACCCCAGCCCGCGAGGACAGAGCACCCACCGTGAAAAACCAAAGTCAGCGCCTGTGATTCTGGGGCACCCAGCCGAGGCTCCCCTCCCCCGGCTCATGCAGCCGTCTCTGGACGGCAGCCCGGCAAGACGGGACTGTTCTCCGAGCCGGCGCGGGCTGAGTATGGCACACGCCTTCGGCACATGGGAAGGGCGCCGGAGAGGCCTCCTGACCCAGCTGGATCGCGGCGAGCCCGAGGTCTCCGTGACGCCGGGCGAGCAAAGGCCTTTTGAGCAGCCGCACAGCAGGGCCGTATTGAGGGCACTCAGGCGCTGTCCAGCCGGGGGAGGCAGAACAAGCCATGCCGGGGGCGGGGTGCTGCTAATTGGCGTCATGTCGTGCGCTTGGCTTGTCTAGGACATGACCCGGGTTCGTCTGGTGGGAGGGAGGCACGGATCTGGGGGTGTCCCCTGCCCGCTTTGTCCTGGGTACCCACGGGGGACTGAGCGGAAGGGTCATGGGGGGCAGGCTCTGCTGCTGCCTTGGCAGTATGTGCAGGGGGCGTACGACCGGGAGCCGGCTAGCTACAATTGCCTGTGCATTGCAGTGGCTGCTGGGGCGGGGTGTGGGGGGGTCTGCACTGGGCTCGTTGCCTCAGGAGCTGTGTTCTCGGCCCTCCCAGTCCTGCTTCTCGCGAGCCGGCCTCAGAGCTCCGGGGGAGCTCGGAGAACACGTCCTCCCCAGCTCCTGCTTCCTTCAGCTCGAGCCCATAAAGAGCCTCATTAAAATATATGCTGAAGCTCCGACATCCTGCCGGGTCCCCGCCCCGTGAGGCTATGGGACGGGGGCTTGGGGGGAGATCCAAGCCGTGTGGAGACCCCAGCCACCGGGGCCTCTACACTCAGTGGCCAGGAAGCCAAAGCAGGCTGGGCATGTGAACTCGGCATGGGGGTGCAGAGAGGAAGGGGCCAGGGGAGAGACGGGGGGACAGAAAGAGACAAGCGGGGAGAACCAGGGCATGGCCCAGCCATGGAGCCCCCGACGAGCTCGCCTGTCCCGACACTCTGGTGCAGGGGGTTGTTACTCCGTGAGCCCGACAGCCGGGGGCAGGCAGGTGATTCAGGCTGACACGTGGCCCCTAGGGTGCCCCTGACCCAGAGGCAGCTGTGCAAAGGGGCTAAAGGTCTCCAGGGCCGTAGGCAGCTGGGCTCTTCTCCAAAGATGGCAGAGGGGCACGGGAAGGCATCCGACTGCGGCAGGGAAATCAGGCTGCTCTTCCCAGAAATGGCCTGGCAAAGATCACGGAGCCTCTCCCCGAGCATTTCTCCCAGGGCTGAACCCAGGACAAGCTCAACCAAACCCAGCCGGGAGTGGCGGTGGGCGGTGGCCGCTGCCCAGCCCTTCCAGCCAATTCAATCCCAGAACGAGCAACAGTGAAAAAGTGTTCAAATGACAAGCTGTCACTTTAAATTCTCCGGGGTTTCCTGGTGTAACGATGCTGGCCTTGGTGGGACACTTCTGAGAGTCCCAATTCAGGACCAATTGCTTAGAGCAGGGCAGTCACAGGTTTCTCCACTTCTAAGGCAAACCAAACCAGCCAGACACAGAGGACTTTGGTCTCACTCCACTGGCTAACCATAAGTCATACAAGCAATTCCCTTAGACACTCCAGTTTCCCAGTATCACCACCAGTGCCACTTGTTATGGGGATGAATGGTTATGAAAACCAACACCCCAGTAAAAGAAAAAAGGTTCTTCTGATCCCAAAGGACCAGGCCCCAGACCCAGGTCAATATACCAATCAGATCTTACCCACAAATCACGCTGTTGCCAGTCCTTTAGAATCTAAAATCTAAAGGTTTATTCATAAAAGGAAAAAGATCTAGATGAGAGCTAGAATTGGTTAAATGGAATCAATTCCATACAGTAATGGCAAAGTTCTTGGTTCAGGCTTGTAGCAGTGATGGAATAAGTTGCAGGTTCAGATCAGGTCTCTGGAACATCCACAGCTGGGATGGGTCATTCAGTCCTTTGTTCAGAGCTTCAGTTTGTAGCAAGGTTCCTCCAGAGGTAAGAAGCAGGGTTGAAGACAAGCTGGAGGGCTTTTCAGGGCCTTTTATATTCTCTGCCCGTGGAAGGCGCCCTCTTTGTTCTTACTGTGGAAAATCACAGCAGTAAGATGGCGTTTGGAGTCACATGGGCAAGTCACATGTCCAGGCATGGCTCAGTTAGTTTGCAGGCCGAGGCCATTGTTTACATGTTAGTTTGAACAGGAAAGCTCAGACGTGGATTGGCATCTCCCAAAGTTCATTGTCCGTTAAGTGTCTCTTGATTGGGCACTTACTGAGAACAGTGTTTTCTCAAGAAGCTGACAAAATGCTTCACTGAGGTTACTTAGAATCAAAACACATTGAGATACAAGTACATAGCCAATATTCATAACTTCAACTACAAAAATGATACACACATACAGACAGCATAATCATAACCAGCAAATCGTAACCTTGTCTTAGACACCTTATTTGACCCCCTTTATAAAAGATTTGGTGCCACTACAGGACATTGGTTGCAAGAATGATCTATACAGTCCCAGTTTGTGTCAATAACATCACACCTGGTCCTGCTGGCAGGCTAGAGGGCTATTGTAGGGCAGCGTGTAATCTGAGTGAGTCTGCAAAGAGCCAGCCTAGAGCAAGGTGGGTGATTTTGGCCTCGCTGCCCTAGGGAGCAGCCTGCTTTGTCTCTCTCTGTTTTTGGATCTTGTGTGTTAGGGTTCTGGAGTCAAAGCAATAAAGTCCTGTCACATTGCAACCTTCCAGCAGGAGGATTTGATGTTTGTCTCTAACCTCTCTGGGTGCACGCTGTGAACACTCCCTATCCCCCAATCCCAGCCCAGCGGGCGAATGATTTGATTTAGGCTCTCAGACTGGAAAGCAAAGTGCTGCCCTTTCCACCGTTGACATTCCTTGTTTACTCTACAAGTGTGTTCCTAAAAGTCAGGCTGTCTAAACGACCAGGCTCACTCGCCAGGGTTCTTTGAACGTTTCTATGTACTTTACTTGAATGATCAGGTCCCAGTTTCAGTGTAATTCTTTCTGTGCTTGCAAAGCATTGCTCTGGGTCTAGAAATGCTAGCTGGCTGCCCTGTGTAAGGGACCGAGGCGCAGGCAATCCGGCCTAGCAGTCACAGCTGGGCTGGTATCCACAAGTCAAGGCCGCCGGGAGGTGGTGGTCAGCGAGCAGGGATCGGAGGAAATCACTAGAGCCAGGATCGATAGGCAAGAGTCAGGCCGGGGTCGGAGACAGGAGGTCAGAAGGCCAGGTAAGGTCTGGGGCCAGACATCTCTGTGGCTTCCCAAACAACTTCCTGGAGCACCCTCTAGGGTTAAATAGTGAGCATGGGCCAATCAGAGGGCTGCAGAGAGCTGTCACCTTGGATCTTTTGGGCGGTACTTCCTGCAGCACCCAGTCTCCGCCAGGCTCCTCGGCAGTGACTGCATGGGCTCCCAGGGCAATCTGGGAACATCAGCTGGCACAGGCATTGCAGTCCCAGTTCCCTTCCCTTTCGTTACTGCCCCGTCTGGGGTGCCCGTCCTCCAGGTCGGTGCTGGCCTGGATGAAACCCTTTGACCAGGTCAGGGGCATGGACGTGGGCAGCAGGTTCCCAGAAGCCTTTTCGGGACCATCTCCCAGTGGATGAGACAGCACAGCCACCCCCTCGCGTTCAGAGTCGAGGATCGCCGGCACTATAGATTCCTCGTGCCCTTGGAGCTGGACTGGCGGGGGTGACGGTTGGGACCGAACAGGAAAGGGGTCCCCCGGGTAAAGTGTCAGGCGGGATACATGGAAAACGGGATCAAGGGAGCTGCAAGGTGATAGGTTGATTTGCTGACCAATCCGGAAAGGTCCGAGGAACTGGTGGTCTAGCTTGCGGGACGGCCTGTTCCTACGGTGGTGCAAGCCAGACCCTTTGGCCCACTCTGAGAGCTGGGCCTTCCTGGCGTCAACGGGCCGCCTACCGCTTGTCGTCCCTTTTCGCATCTTCGAAGCAGTCCTTGAGCTCCTCCTGGATACGATGAATTCGTTGGATCCAGTCGGCAGCTGCTGGGTTCGGGGAGGCTGCCAGCAAGGCCAGGTGGGACTGAGGGTGGAATCCGTAATTTGCAAAGGAGGGGCTCTGCCCCACAGAGGTTTGGTCGGCGTTGTTGTATGAGAACTCGGCAGGAGGGAGACCCAGTTATCCTGATGGTAGATGCCGCAGCACCTTAGATATTGCTCTTGGTCTTGGTTCGCTCTCTCGGTCTGCCCATCCGTCTCGGGGTGGCCTGCGGAGGAGATGTCAGGTAAGTGGAGTGTTTCACACCACAAGCATGAGACAAACTGCGGCTCTCGATATAGTCTGCAAGCCCCTGAACATGCCCCAGCAGGAGCTGAGCTGTTGTTTCAGCAGAGGGCAGGCACTCACAGGGGATGATGGGAGCTATTTTGGTCAGCTGGTCTATAGTGGTCAAGACCATCATGTGGCCATCAGAGACAAGGATTTCCACTATGAAATCCAGGATGATCAAGGCCCAGGGTCTAGGTGGGGTCTTCAGGGGCACTAGGCTTAGCATGGGGATCTTGGTGTGTGCACAAGTCCTGGACTTTGGCTCTCATAGGGGGCCACCAGAAGAAATGGGGGAGCAGTTCTTTACGGAAGATCCCATAACCCCGTTTTGTGTGGGGCAAGCTCTTAAGAGTACTATGCGCAGGGGTGCAGCCCTGGTGGTGGCCAGCACCCCTGAGAGAGCAGGACCCCCATGGCTACATTGGATGCATCGACTTCCTCTCTGAATGCCTGGGCAGGGTTCTGAGGTGCTGGAACGGGAGCGGTGGGGGAAAGCGGCACGGCACGCGGCAGGCGTCCAAACAAACCTCACAGCCCGACAGAGGAGGTTGGTAAATTCACAGAGCCCAGAAAACACTGCAGCTCCCGCGGGCACCTGGGCACTGCCTACCTGTGGATGGCTTCCACTATCTGGAGCTCCATCTTAACGCCCTCCGGGGAAAGGATATAACCAGAAATGGTGAAGGGCTGGTCAAAGGTACATTTTCCCCGTTTCCCGTACGGGCCAGGCTCCGTCGCCTTTCCAGGCGGGAACGAACGTCGTAACAACGGTGCTCGGGGTTCTCTGAAAACGCCACTGAGCTCCATGACTGCACCCTGGTCCAGGATGGCCCGAAATATGTTGTTTGTGAAGTGTGGCAAGGTTGCGGGAGCGCTGGTCAGCCCACATGGCATTACTCCCGATTCAAGGGACTGGTCTTCCAGTCCCCCCTGCCCGAATGCGCAGGAGGTTGAAAGCCCCCCAGAGGTCCAGTCTGGTGAAATTTCTGCAGCCCATACATGCTAGTT